TTGCCAGATAAATAACCAAACTGAGACGAGTTCAACACCAGCAGCAACAAAAAGAGGACGGCAGTGCTTATTTTTAATTCCTGAATTTAAAGACCAGGCTCAGAACCACCAACAATGAGCGATGCACTCGTACTGCTGGAGGGGTGGTGCGTATACGAACGCATCATAATGGAACGTAACGTAGCGACGCCCCCTTCGCAGGGCGTACTCGTCCACCACAGGAGGTTTTCGTCTCTCGTGCATGCCTGCAAGGCGAAAAACCATCCAAACAGTCACAAATGTGGTTTGTGCTTTGATAAAATACTCCACCTACCAGTTATTTATTCCGTTGGGAGGGAACGTCAGGCCAATTAAAGCAGCTCAGTAAATCTGAACAAACAATGGCAAACAAAAGATGGCAAAGGCCGGTCGTGGAAGTGGCGAGTGAAATGACGGTTGCCAATAAGACAGTTGCAATGAAATGGTGATGCGAGCGTAGTAAACCAGAAAGAAGTGTTGACGTAGGTTTGTGCGAGGCGGAGGGCAAATTGATGGGTTGCAGTGGCTACGGAATCCGTAGCGTGGACACCGGTCTACGCTTGGTCTAGCGCCTGTTGTTAATGCTCTTTCATGCAGCAGACGGTATAGGAGATTTAGAATTAGTACCGGCTCGCGTGTTGCCATCATCTCGTTCTTCCAAAGACCTACAAGGCTTGACTCCACTACAGCGACACCGGTGAGCCTCTACAGTTTCCCTGTACACCATAATTCTGTTATTCCTATTAACGTTTATCCGCTTCGTCAATCCCTCCAAGTCGTCATACTCACATTTTTGTCACCTTGGCCTTAAGCCCGACAGCCCAAGTACACGAGGCCCTAGCGGTGGTTTTAGGTTCCAGTTCAACATGTTCGCCTGAATGAGGCCAACTCTACTGCTTCACCTGATCTAATGTCCTGGTTCCTTATCTTTCACCATTGTACTATTCTTGTCATGTGTCAGGCAGAAAGCCACTTGTTTTGCCCCCCGCTTTGTTTATTGCCCGCCACTTTCAAACCCCAACGATCCTATCTTGCCCGATATTCTCTCCACTAACGCATAGTAACTGTGATTTCCTGCCCATGCCGGTCTCGTGGTGATCAAGTCTACGTCGGATAATGCCCACCTCCTATGATGATGTAACGTTCCATAGTCTCCTGTGCCCACAATCGCCGCTAGTTTTTTCTCTTTTTCTGACTGTAACATTATTATCATGCTTGATGGTATGCCACCCACAAGTTGCGAATGAACATCATTATTAACACCACCATATTTTGCAGGTAATACACGGACGCATATATGAAAACGAGCGAAAATTCAAACATTTACCACCACAGTCTGAAGGACCATGGGTTTTATTGTGCGCAAAGCCTCTCGGATCTACTGCAGATCTTAAAACGGATAATCCAAGCGGCGTGTCTTATTTTGGAAGAAAACTAATCACCCACATGTTTCTCCGATTGCACTCACAGACCACCATGGACGCCTGGAACACCGCAAGCAAACAAAATCCACTGGGTCCTGTATTTCTCCACTCAGCAGTTGCATAGGCACACTTGCAAGTTCGGCTAGCGCAGGTCATGGCATTGATTCTCCTGAAAACCCTTCATCGATGTGCTAGGTTCGTACAGGACGAAATGTAAACTACTGGAATATACGTGACCTTGGAACCAATTTCATTTTCCACAAGTTTGGGATAAACATTATTATTATTACCACTTGATTATGAGACTAAGAACCGTCTGGAGAATGCCAATGGTCACCCTAAAGACGAGATGCATCAACCCAGCACACTGGAGCACGCCATACAACAGGCGTATCGGCGCACCGAGTGACACATGCAAAAATTGAAGCGGCATACGTCGTATCTGACCGACGGCAAATCTTGGAGGTCTGCGTTCTTAACGTGGTTTGCCGAATGACTACTTATGTATTTTCTCTCGTTTTGAGGCATTCGATGATGTGACTGCCAAAGCTGCACTATGACAGTATCGGAAAACTTAACGTGAGGCCAACATACACTTACTAAATTACAGTTTGTAGCGCAAACGCCCAGGTGTTTCCAGACGGTTGACACGTGTGCTGGAGAATACTCAGCGCCCTTCTACTAGGCGGTTTGGCTCCTCTACATATATTTGTTCTCTGTATTTAGAAGCCGTCTGGTTCCAAGCTTGCTTCTCAATCCGCCAGCGGTGGTTGTCGGATTACAATCTACCGGAAAAGACAGATCGTGCTTGTTCCCAAACCACCACCGACAGCCTTGGATGGCCTGCCTAAACAACTGTAGTGCGTGGTGGATAAGCTTGGTGAACTTTAACCAAGAAGATCCACAACCATCATTAGACGCTTGGTTTTTCAGACAAATCCTGCCGCGTAGAGGCTCTAATTTTGTGACTGGCAGTCTGTCGTCGGTGGTCGGGGATCCTGCACCTCAGATGGCAGCCTGGGGACTCAATCTTGGGCTTCTGTGCGCTCTGCGACCGGACGACTGCTACATCGACGGTAGCGCGTAGCATACCACGCCGAATATTGTAATGGAGATCCTCGCCTGCTGTTTGATGATACTCCTCATGTCTGTCCCAAATGTTAGCCCACGAAAGAATAGTTTTCTTTTGGCTTTTAGCCACCGGCGTGCCCAGTAAAACGCAAAGGTGTGTATTTCATGTAAATATCGTTTTTTGATGGGCGCATTAAGTGGGCATGCGAAAAATACACTGAAGATACCGTTCTGTAAACAAGCCTCCACGAGATTATTGCCGCTAAAGTGCTTCCATTATAGCGTGAGTATTTGTAGCTACTTAGGACCTTATGGGCGTGTTCCATCAAATAAACGAGCAAACATACAAAATAACAAAATCACAATAAGAAAGGAATAAGCAGTCGCCAGGGGCTCACGAATGCGTAGATCCAACAGTCCACTACACCGATTCCAATGAGGTGACCGGCTGTGAAGGAAATATCCACTTGTAGAAATTTTCCACCGATGATTCATGTGTGAGTGGCATATTCCACGATGGAAAAATTATTCGCAGCTAAAAAATGTCACGGGGCAGTTAATGTGAATTTCAATAATTCACACCAAAATATAGATCTAGTCCCACTGGTTCAGTGGTCAGCAAACGGTTCAACGGAGCGTAAATTCAATGATTCAGCAAGAAGTCAGCAAGTCGCGCCAAACAATTGTGTAGTGGTACCACTAAAACAGGCGTCATGATGAAATATTTACGACAGTTAAAAAAGGTAGTTTAAGTTCAGAAAAATGTGGTGAACGAATGCGACAACGGATTACAGACACTACATATTCCTCTTAGTGTGTTATCCACCTGTATCATGGTGGTATTTCAACAAACTAATTTGTATCTTCCTCCCATTTCAGGACGTAACTGTTCAACTGAACGAGTTCATGCACCTCCAAGTAGGACATACGTACTCGTCAGAGACCGGTAAAACTCAACATTTTATGTCGTATAGTTTGGATCTTTTATCTGGCAGAGATGGACGGGCGAGCTCCCGCCAGCCAATCAGTCATCGTGAACACCAAGCCGCCTGTCATTCGTGTGCGTCAGCTAAGTTCGTTCAGCTGTCTGCTATTATCGACGTAGGTCCCATGTGGCTTGTTGATCAACGTCATGGTCTTTCTGGTAGAATTCGCACGCTATAATGGAACATTTTGCTGTTTAACGATGAACTCGCAGGATTTCTCACCAGTAAGCGCGGCTTACGCAATTTGAACTGGTAACAGTAAGTATTGAACAAAAATTGTTTAAAAGAATGGCACCTTAGCAAATTTTACATCCACAAAGGCCATGTAGATTCCAGAACGTTTAGGAACTTATTACAACCAAAAAACTAACAAAAAGTTCTGCTCATTGTAAATGGTCAACTTTTTCTGCAATTCACGGTTCTGTAGTGGTCTGGTTACGCAATAAATCACTTTGCCAGCAGTGTGTGGCAAAGGAATGAAAATAATAACGCTAATATACTATTGAGTATATTATTATACATATTATATTATTGTATTATTATATTATTATTATAATATTGTAATATTATAATATATAGTATTGTGTATATTATTGGGTATACGATAATATTGAGGTCAGATGGAACATGCTCACCAATACTTGTTCTCTTTAGAATAGTACGAAGTTGGCCTGTACCAGCGAATAAAAACTAATCCAATCATGGTTGTCCAGGGGTCTTTTTCTGAATAGTTCCCACGTATAACAAATTCCGAAGATAGTCTGGAATGTTTTGATTCCAGCGTCACCGCATGAGACTCGCGAAAGGCCACTGTAAGCGCGAGCCCAATTAGAAGAGAGTTGGAGCACGTAACCGCGTGTGTACTGCGTGCGAGTTTTTAATGGTTTATCATATCCAAGCAAAAAACTGTTTTGAAATTGACAAAATATGTAATGGTGTAATGGAAGCAAAATAAAGGTGCAAAACAAACTTCCTTGTTGAATTTGGCGACGTATTCATAGTCACTCGTGTTTGGTGACCTCGAGGATACGCACACTTAAACAAGTCATCAGTGTAGATACTCTGCATAGTACATGCACATATATAGTATTCATAAACATTCTGCACCACGGAGTGACAAGATCGAAAAGACCCTTACTTTCGTGTCGAGAATTTCATTCCTTGTTGAATTTGGCGACGTATTCATAGTCACTCGTGTTTGGTGACCTCGAGGATACGCACACTTAAACAAGTCATCAGTGTAGATACTCTGCATAGTACATGCACATATATAGTATTCATAAACATTCTGCACCACGGAGTGACAAGATCGAAAAGACCCTTACTTTCGTGTCGAGAATTTCAACTGTCCGCGCGAGTACCGAAGCACCCTTGAGTAAGTATTGTAGTTTCACTTTGTCTTTTTAATACTAAAGTGAATTCGGATGTTTTGGCTCGGTTTCATCCCCAGGTCTTCTGCTGGTTAGTTGTGTCTAGGTTCCTCTGCATTTTGTTTAAGTCATCCTGGTGTCACGTTGTCCGTGTTCTGTGCTTTCTCGTTACGCGTTTCTCTGTCCCTTGTGATCACCAGCCAACATGAACGGTGAGTCGGATTTCTCGCAGGCAGACAAGAATGTGGAAATGTGGCGGATAAAAAAGCTTATTAAGAGTCTTGAGGCAGCTCGTGGGTAAGTCGTTTTTTTCCGCACGAATTAAAGTGAATGTTAGCAACGGTACCAGCATGATATCTCTTATTATTCCTCCGAAGGATCAAATCACGCGCATTGCTAAACTTTTGGCTGAAGAATACGGTACGGCCTCAAACATCAAGAGCCGAGTAAACCGTTTGTCCGTTCTCAGTGCGATAACCTCCGTTCAACAACGTCTAAAGTTGTACAACAAAGGTATGCTTTACTGCGTAGCATAGTGTTTTGGCAGTTCCAAATAATGGTCTTGTGGTGTACTGCGGCACGATAGTCACAGACGATGGGAAGGAGAAAAAGGTTAACATCGACTTTGAGCCTTTCCGTCCTGTAAACACGTCACTGTACCTTTGCGACAACAAATTTCACACTGAGGTATTTCTGTTCTTTATTGCTACTTACGTTGAAGGCCTTGACGGCACTACTGGCTGACGACAACAAGTTTGGATTCATAGTAGTCGACGGTAATGGGGCTTTGTTCGGGACACTGTCAGGCAACACACGCGAGGTTTTGCACAAGTTCACTGTGGATCTTCCGAAGAAACACGGTCGCGGTGGTCAATCCGCCTTGCGATTCGCAAGACTCAGAATGGAGAAGCGGCACAATTACGTGAGGAAGGTTGCTGAAACTGCCACTCAGCTTTTCATCGTTAATGATAAACCGAACATCGAGGGCTTAGTACTCGCTGGAATAGCCGATTTCAAAAGTGAGCTGGGGCAGTCCGATATGTTTGATCAGGTTAGTACGCGATCACTCACCTGATCTTTTCAGCGCTTGCAAGCCAAGCTAATCAAGACTGTCGATATTTCTTACGGTGGAGAACACGGGTTCAACCAGGCTATCGACCTTGCGTCCGATGCATTATCGGGTGTGAAGTTCATTCAGGAGAAGAAACTGATACAAAAGTACTTCGACGAAATATCACAAGTATGTTTCTAGTTCTGTTTTTATCTTTTCAGGACAGTGGCAGATATTGCTTTGGAGTTGACGACACACTGAAGGCGCTTGAGATGGGTGCTGTGGAGATACTCATCGTGTGGGAAAATCTTAGTGTCAACCGTTACATCTTAAAGGCACCTGCTTCTGAAGGTATGTTGGTCCTGGTGTTTGCAATACTTCTTTTGTTTGCTACTGACCTCACCCGTCTTGGCTGATCGTGGTGACTGCTGCCTCTGTGATGCCGACGACGTAAATTAACGATAAGTTGGTTCTGTCGAACTTCTTTCACTAGAATTGAAGCTAAACGGAGCCGGAGCATCGGTAAGAAGTATGTGAAAAAGATTCAGCATACTTAAACGTGCTCCTACAACCTACTTATTTGTCACCGCATTAACCACGGTGCCTTAGTGTGCTCAGTGGGAGTACAGGTGACATAAATCGAGTTGGTCGATATTGGTGCTACAAGTTTAAGTGCATGTAGCACAAAGGCATGGCCGTATATTCACCCGTTTTTTGCACGCAACTCCGAATCTCCACGAAACAAAACTTCCATTTTAGAAACCCGAATAATACATTTACGTCCGGACCAAGAACGTGATCGGCAACAGTTCGTAGACAAAGACACGGGAGCCGACCTGGAGATAATAGAGACTCAGCTCTTGCTCGATTGGTTGGCATTGAACTATCGGTCTTTTGGGACCATACTGGAGATTGTGACGGATCGTTCCCAAGAGGGTGCCCAGTTCGTGCGTGGCTTTGGTGGCATAGGTGGTAAGTTCTCTTGAGATGACTTCGTTTCCCTGTCATTGACCCTGAGATTTGTGCCTATTCTACCCCGAAAGTTCACTCTCCAAACGACGAATCCCTCTCACCAGTTTGCAAGATCCTCGGCCTGGGTTTTTCTAGATTCGGGCACCAAGCAGGCCAGGTTTCAATGTCAGCACAATTTATTATCGAGCATGGCTTAGGTTTTTGGACGTGCTATAGCTATCTCCGCAATAGGGATTTTGTGTTTTGAACACAACAGTAAGATTCGATCATTCGTTCAGGTGATTAGGGTATTTTGACACTATTGGGATGCATAAGCGAAGGGCTATCTGCGTAACGGAGTTCATTTCATTGGGGTTAGGGTGAGTCGGTAGGCCGTTGGCTCTCCCAATTTTCGTCGAACAATGTACGGCCATCTTGTTTGTTTGATATGATTCGTGAACAACTGCGTCGTGTTTCCCAGGAACATCTTGTGTACTGATTAGAATCGTCATAGTAGTATTGCTCCCCTGAGGAAATAGTCCTATTAGGTTGCGATTCCTGCTACCTTCCCGATACTCGCTTGGTTAACTGCAGCTGATGTCACTGGCGCACATGTCATTGGTTTCCTTGCGGGTTGGATGAATACTTGGAAATGCATGCATCCCAGGATGCATGTGGTAGTCTAGCATCAGATCCCTTCCCTCCATTTTTCCGTCATAAATGCGGTGCGTGCTCCGTAATAAATCATCCATGTCAACATCGATATTGCGGTCTCATGGAAATGAGTTTGACGAATGAGGGCAACGAAAGTCCGTTAGCAATAAGCAGTAAGTTTGAAAACATAAACTCTGATCTACAGATAGGTTTCAGCGAACAGATATTTTAGCAGTCTGAAATATGATACAATACTCCCGTCTGGAGGTTACGGATACTACATACATCGGAATTATAGTGAGGAGAACAATGGTGAACGCACACATTCCACAGCTCTGATATCAGTCGTATTCCTAGGAGGGCGCTCCTAAATTTCTTTTTGGGAGTAAAAGAGATCGGGGTGGACAACTCGTCCATTTGGGTGTGTCCGTATTTCTTTACCAATGAAATGTGTCAATCGAAAGGTGAAAACTATCTCTTCACATGGTTGGAGCTGCTGGCGTCATTTCCTGCCTAACATCCGCAATGTCTCTTGTGAGATCTCGCATGAACAGGCCCCTCTTAAAAGACCATGTGCCATCTGCAATAACTTTTGGGGTGATCAATCGGCAGTGGTCTCTGGTAAAATCTTGTTTTAAGGACGACATAAGGCATCAGCCGGAAGTGATCTGGTGTCTTAATTTATTTCGACGTGCGTTGTTTTGGCTAGGCTAAAATGGCTTTTGACGTTGTCACTGGACCTTCTAACTAGCTGGATGTTTACGACGGGACAGTATCACCTTTACTCAGGAGGCGTCCTTCGAGCAGGAGGAAGTTGTCGACTCAGTCCAAAACAGATCGAGCCATCTTGATAGACAACAATTCAGATCGTCTTAGCGTGTTCCGACACCGGGACACTTCACGACAAGTGTGACGTCTAGCGGTATGCTGCTTCATGTATTTCCTTGTCTGAGTTTGTTACGTCAGGATACTCCGGTAGAAGTCCAGGTTGGCCATGGTCGAAGGCATCTCGACGACTGTCCTAGAAGGTTGTTTCCTGCACCTGCTTTCAAAGTGTAGGGAAAATCACGCACCAACATCGTCTTTCGCTTTATATATCTCGATCTTGTACGGCAGTGAAGCATCGGTGTTGGACACTGATGTCATGCTGTCGATGATGGTGATCCCGATCCTGGATGTAGTCTAGGATGGTTCAAAGTAGTGTACCAAAGGAGCTTTGGACATTTGCTGCACAGGAGGTCTGGGATAAGTAGATGATGCTTTCTAAGTTCCGTGAACCATTAATATTCATGTATTCATTAAACTGTTTTCTGGCGTTTCTGCTTCTGAATAATTCCCGACGGAATCCTTTTCGTCCCTCATTTGTAGGTATCCTCCGGTACCAAGTTGACTTTACACACATCGCGGGTGATGACAATGACTTCGATGACGAGTTTAATCTTGATGATTACTGACATAAGGTGAGAATTGCAATGCGGCGTGGCTCCGGCTACAGCGCAGGCGGCGCTACGTCGTTCTGTCCTATGATTGGATACTGGTGGCTATCCACGGAGTGGGCACCCGTCGAACATCAGCCTCGATTATTGAAACCTGATTTGCTGTTTCTGACAACAATCCTTTGCTGTTTTGTTGAGTGTGGTGACTTGTGTATCTTAGGTAACAGACTGTATGTAACTACCGTTTTGGTGTTCTAACAAGTAAAGTCTACATTATATTTGAATGAGTTTATGTCTGCATGGAATTCGGATGTACTTGGCATGTGCAAACTGATGGGACGCTAGGGCTTTACAGCTACGACGGCGGTTGGCCAATATGCATGGTACGTCTAAAAAGTTGGCCATATAATACGTGTGGTGACCATAAGTGGGCCGCATCAATGCATTTATCCTAAGCAAAGTGTTTGTACACTGGGTCAACCGATTGATTTGCTTGTTAGCTGTCGTACATTTTGCCTCAGTAACCACTTGCAGTTAACAGCGTAAAGACGTGGAACTTATCTAACGCTGTTTCTGATTGTTTTTGAAGCCATCGATGACTGGTGGCTGCCTATACTGTTAAGCAAAAGGTTCCCAGCGTGGAATCTGGCATGTCGGCTAAGATGCTGTTAGTGACATTGTTCCAACTAGTGAGCTCCTGTCGGTGTTATTCAGAGTTCGGAGGAACTACTTCATCCGGCTAGATAGTGACGTGGGAGTCCAAGGCCCTTGTTTCATCGGTATAGTCATCTCCACAGACAGTGGCCCCCGCGCACGGAATGCGACGGAAGACGGACACATTTGTTGCCAACCGATTGCTCTTACCAGTCGTCCCAGCGAGAGCATTTACCCGGCATTTTCGTATTCTGTTCTCATCGGGTTATCTGAGTACGACCGCTTGAATGGAAACCCGATCTCTGGACCATAATGTTTGATACCTAACTATAAGTTGTTTCCTGAAAAGCTCGTAATAACTGGTTTCTTGCTGCCAATTTCCTCGGTCTCCACAGTCTTGAAACCAAGGGGGCGCATAGTTTAAAGCCGGATTGTAGCTCATTGAATTGGGAGAAGTTTGGAATTGATTGACAAGTCATCATTTCAGCAGAGCTTGATAAGCTCATAGTACGTGGCCCCCTGTGAAAAATCTCCTTGAACAGCTATTGTGGTCTCATTTGAACCTGATTGAAAACTGTTGTGGTCGGCGTTGGAAATTTAGACGCCGCCATCTTCTTAGGGAATCGTTCTGAATCGTTTATTCGGGAAAACGAGCCTTCACATTCTGGGACAGTCTTCCGAGCCCGTGCTCAGACGCATAAGCATCGGTCGACAACTTGGTGCGAGTCCTTCGGCTCAAGAGTACGCTCGCGGTGCTTAGCACTTCTAGGTGGTTAACTGACGTTCAAAACAACAGGTCCTGATCCACGCGTGAACATGTGATGGCTTGCAATTTGCTATTCCTGCCAGGGCTTTACCACATGTAGGGAGTGGCCATGTGCAACATACGGCAAGGCCTGGGTTCCACTGGTTCACAATATCGCCTTTAGAGTGAGAATGTTTCAGGTGAGTGCTGGCTAGAAACTACAGCTAACCTAGCTGGGTCCCCGATATTTGCTTTTAGTAGGCGGCTCGGTGGATGTACTTGTAGCCCACAAAGCCATTGAAGCTTCACTGAAGATTTCTTGATCCATTCCTGAGTGGCCCGCTTGTTCATTGACGTTCCGTGTCTAAAACTCATGCAAGCCCGGTCCAGTTTTCCAAACTTGCACCTCCTACTCTGAGCGCCACTTTTCACCTGGGGTGTCACTTTCTGCCGTTTCCAAGTGTCCCAACTAGCGGAACCATACACCGAGTTCATTATTGCGATTCGTTAAAAATTAGCTAATGCTCGTGCTTGCGTCGACTTCTGGTAGCCTTCGCAGTTTATTTAGTTGCCAACGCATGCATCTTTCCTAAAAGCTTCAGGGCGGTTGGAAGTTTTGGAACGGCTCTTATGCGACATTTTGTTTGGAGTGGGATTGGTTGACCAACGACCTGAATTAAGGTGGCGTTCGCATAGTCCGACTTTAGTTTTTTCTCAACCTGAAATCTATCGAAGTGTGCTCTCAACGAGGATCCGGATGGAGAAATTTAACGAAGTCTGTCGAGTTTGGTGAACACTGCTCGTTGGAAAATTGGACAGTTCTTCGTAACGAGTTGTGGGACAATAGCATACGAAGTATATTTTCGAACAAAACGAAATCGGGCGCTCTTTAGCCACGTGTGTGGTCGAGATTGCTCTAGTGCGTTAATGTGGACCGCGGTTATTGGTCTGCGGTACGTGTGTGTACTTGACACGCTTGCTCACCAGTGAATGCCCCGGAAATTTGTGAACGTAATGAGTTCTCTGCATTCTCGGAATTCCGGATGTTTGTGAGTGTACGGAGAGTTCTTCAAAGGCTTCCGTACACAAGGTGGTGTCCGTCAGGGAGGACCACTTTCCCCATTACTTTTTAAATTCGTGATCGATGAGATAATGAGACGAACGCTGGAAAGTTTCCAAAACCATTGTGTTCCAATAGCCTGTGAAGAAAACCTTGTCGACCTGGAATATGCAGAGGACATTGTTCTCTTCGAAGAGAAGGCGCACGTTTTTTGTGTGAACAGACTAATTTGGGGAGTATTCGAACACAAACCGCGGCTCGATTTGAGCGGGTCCAGTGATACGTAAGGACGGAGTCTGATGATCTACTGAACTTGTTGAAAATACTTTCAAGAGATCAATCCGCTGGGCTCTATCCTGTATTGTATTCCTTACTTAATTCACTGACAATCGACTTCCTGGGTTTTATCCAGCGGATTAACCTGATCGGTTTTCTATTGCCCGCTGTATTAGTCCACTCCATATGTCGAGCTTACTGGTTGCATCACGTCTGTCGATTCGGACACGAAATTCATCCGACTGGATATTAGCTGGCCGGATCCGGTAGTACTTCGATTGCAGGGGAGGCACCTTCTGCATCAACTAATGATTGGGCGGGTTTCTGAGTTTCCTAGTTGATGTGTGCTAGGAAGCCGTGTCGTTTATAACGATTTTTTACTCTCACTTACGAATATAATGGCTTCTGAAAAATTCGCATTTGATTCATCGTACGGAAGATTTTTTTCGGTTTACGGTTCGCGTACTTTTTTGACGCTAGTAGCGCAAATCTAGGGGAGGTAATCTGGTGGTAAACTCAACCTGTCTATTGCCAGGGCCCGCTGACCGACGGAACGGATTGACAGCGGTTTGATCCTACGCGGATCATGACCCTGACTACTGTCGCTCAGTTCATGGTGAATAATAATCGTTCAGCTATAACATCATTTCTATACCCATACCCTCTCCACACACGTCGAATGATGGATTGCAACCAACCTATCTACCAGTCCTATAACTGACGGCTAGCCTCTCGTGCAAAAGATCTCCACGTAAAGGCTTTCGATGTTCATATTTCTGTCAATTTGGGTGACAGACATTTCTCGCTCCGACTGCTTTCACCTGCTATCGATTTTGGCGCGTCCGCCGTGGCTAACCTAAAGAACCTACTCCAAAGTATCTGGAATGAGACAATTCCAACAGAATGGAGCACATTGACGGTGATTCCCATATTCAAAAAGGGTGTAGCAACGTTGTGCGAAAACCACTGGGGAATCATTTAGTGGTTATAGTCTCTGGTGCTCTGGCATTATGTTATACAGTTTGATCCATCATCGGGATAGTCATGCTCGCGAGAATCAAGCTGGATTTCGCCAAGGCCGAAGTCGCCCCGACCGTATCTTCACTTTGCGACAGGTGTCGGCACTGCGCCACACCTAACTTTGTTGATCGTCAGAAGCTGGCAGTGTCTGGCGATGAAGAGTGTTTCTCAAGGAGACTTTATACGCCTCCTACCCTTCGGCGAAGGGCAAAATTACTCCCCTAATTGGGAAGGCTAGTGCATCGTTTGCTTACCGACTTTTGTGGCGCCGATATGCTTTCACTTGGACCTTCACTGGTAGGGTCTGACGTGCGTTATTTTTTCGATCGGAGACGGCCGTTGCGTTTGGAAGAACTTCGGCGACTCGTGGTTTACCCATGGGTGCCTGCGGAGCATTGCGAGAGTTCCCGTAATTCTAAGTCAGAACTACTGAATTACGCCAGATAGTTTTCGGGTACGTCTTTTCTCCCTCAATAGAATAGCTGGTCCTATCACACGTTACGCTGATTGGGTCATGTACTTCGTATTCCAGACGGCCATTTGTCTCGTATACTCCTTTTCGTCTAGTTTTATGTCGGATGAAAATGCCCTGGGGGAGGTCAGCCCACTACCTGGCAACGAAGCATAGGAACCCTCGGTAGTCAACTCAGTCGCTTTGGTGAACGCTGTCTCCCCGTCTTCAAAACGGGTGTAATAACGTCACGCGACAACTATCGCGGTGTCAGCCTTTTTTTGTCGCATCTAAGGTGCATTGTTTCGTGCCGATCAGTCGGTTATATCAGTTTCGCTCTGGCAGGGAGGCAACCACCGTATCTTCACCTTGAGACAACTTGGACAGCACCACGTTGGGCGTTTCTTTTGATCTGAAATCTTATTTCGACGCTGTCGGTCGTCGGAAACAGTGGCAGTGTTTTGCGGTCGCAGTTGTTCATTCCAACTTGATATACCTTATGAGATCCATGTACAGACGAATCGACATCACCATGGCCTGTCCATGTTCAAAAATAGTGTTTGAGAAGACAAGAACCGTGCCCACCCATCATCAATAAACTATCACTGCATTTGCCGAGGGTGGTAAATTCAACTCCTCTGGTTATGTATGAAGAAATCGTCAATGAGAGTTTGGTTGAAAACGACGCTTTTTTAGGCTGAAGTAGCTGATGCTGGAACTGCGTCAAGCAGGTAGTATGGAATGGGAGTCTTTCGAGTGATTTCCTCAAATCCATCCGTATATCCTATGGACCCCATCACTCCGCGTCCAACGAGATCAAGTCGTAATGTCCAATATCTTGGGCATATTTTCTGAGATCGTATTATGGACGACTGAAGAATTCCAAACAAATCACCTACATCAACGAACAAATCAACCACCATATTCAAGGTTACCGAGTGACAGTGTTGTGGAATACAGGTAGCTCGGACTGCTCTGTTGTACGGCTGTGAGACTTGACCTGTTCGAGCAACGGAACTGAGACGTCTCCAGGTATTCGGCAACTGTTGT